GAGAGAGAGAGAGAGAGAGAGAGAGAGAGAGAGAGAGAGAGAGAGAGAGAGTGTGTGTGTGTGTGTGTGTGTGTGTGTGTGTGTGTGTGTGTGTGTGTGTTAAACATAATGTGTTTCTGTGTGTGTTCTATCGCCCAGTACGTGCGGCTGTCTCCTGACACGGACATGAACAAAGTCCTGAAGCTGATGGCGAACTACTGGCAACTGAGCCCCCCAAACCTGCTCATCTCCGTCACTGGCGGGGCCAAGGACTTCCAAGTGAAATCAGGACTCAGGGCCAAATTCCAGAAGGGTCTCATTAAAGCAGCTTTACCGACAGGTGATCAAGAATGGAAAAACCACAAGCAGCAGCAGCATCAACAGCAGCAACAGCATCGCCATCATCTTCATCATCATCATCATCATCATCGTCATCATTGTATAAAGCAGATATTAAAACGGTGAAGACCTGGTAGTATTTCCAAAATGTTAATCACCAGTTCAACGTTTTGCCCTCAACGGGCTTCATCAGAAACACTCAAAATAATAAATGAATCATCACCATCATCATCATCATCATGGAGGAGGGAGGGAGAGTCTTAAATGAGTTTAGGTCAACCAATAGAAATTTTGTCAAAAGTTTATTCAAACGTCTAAATGTGTGGCCTCAAGGGTTTCTCCACGAGCGACTGATAGAGGAAAAACATCGACGTATAATATTCAATGTTCCAGATGTGGGCTCTGACGTCAACACAGTTCACCACGGAGAGCAGTATTTGGGTCTATTTGGAAACTATTGAAGGCCGAGGGCAAAATTGTAGCAGGCTCACCCATCATTATGTCGTGGCTGGTGTTAGCCCTTCATTTGTAATTGTCCGTCCATGATGCGCATCAGCGCTGTTTTTGTTTTGTTGGGGGGGGGGGGGGGTTGCGTGTGTGTTTTGTTGTTGTTGTTGTTGTTTGTTTGATGTTTGTGTGTGTGTGTGTGTGTGTTTGTTTTTTATTAATGAGACAAAAGAGCTGCAGAAATGACAGTTCCCAGTTTAGGATACTATAATTCAAATCTATGGGTGGCTATGACAGTGCCTGGTCTATTGTAATTAAAGTCTATAGTAATTAAAGTCTCTGCGTGGCCATGACAGTGTCCAAACTAGGATATTGTAGTTCACGCCTATGGGCAGCCTTTCTTCCTCCCCAACCCCCTCATTATACATGAACGTAAGCAATGCATGTACGTTTTAATGCTGAATCTTTTCATGTTGATACTCGGTATATCCACCGAAAAATTTCCTTCGTTGTTTAATAATTTGATCTCATCTCACCTCACCTCACCTCACATCATCTCATGTCACCTCATCTCACTTCACCTCACCTCACATCACCTTTCCTCACCTCACCAAACCATACCTCACCTCACCTCAACTCACCTCACATCAACTCACCATACCATACCTCACCTCACGTCACCTCACCTCACCTCATCTCACCTCACCTCACCCCACCTCACCTCACCAAACCATACCTCACCTCACGTCACGTCACGTCACGTCACCTCACCTCACCTCACGTCATCTCCCCTCACCATACAATGCCTCACCTCACGTCACCTCACATTGTCTTCTCCTGCAGGAGCCTGGGTGATCACAGGCGGTATGAACGACGGAGTCATGCGTTATGTGGGCGAGGCCGTGAGAAACTACGAGAAGCTGGCTAGTAGCAAAGAAAGTAAGGCCGTCACCATAGGTGTGGCCCCATGGGGCTGTCTGAAGAATCGCGAACAGTTGGTCCGTGGTGAGGTGAGAGTCACAGGGATATAATATATTATACTACTACTTATACTACTGATTCTGCTGATATTTATTGTTGCTGCTGCTACTGCTGCCACTAACGGCAATAATAATAATAATAATAATAATGCCAATAATAATAATAATAATAATTATTATTATTATTATTATTATTATTATTATTATTATTAT